GAGTACAGCTCCCATAATCCAGTCTTTTCACCTCTGAACATATGGCATTGCCTAACACATAAGCTCTTGGGGGACATTTCAGATCCAAACCATAACACCATGTTTTTAACTCATTCTTTGGGAAGATGATATTGAAACAAGCAATAATAAGAAAATATCCCACAAATTTAAGGGTTGATAATATTCTGGGAAAAAAGTACACAAAGATTGCAAACAACATAGGCAATAGGTTTTGTGTCRTTTCATTTCATCTGATCGTTTGGCTCTTTGTGTATTTCTCAGATCTATTGTGATCACATGGGAGATTGGCCTCTGGAGTGTTGCTGAACTATCTGTAGTGACCATGAAATCCACTAGAGAATCAATCTTAATGAATACTAACAATTAGATGATATTTTGTTATTTATATTCCTGCTGTTTGGCTTTTCAAAGCAAACAGTACATTCAATTTTCTGTAACTCAAGATGTTAATGTTTAATAAAAATATCACAGTCATGGTGAGACATTTTGTGCTTAAAGGGTTTCCATGCTAAGTTCTTCATTAAGAACTAAAGTTACAGGCCTAAGCAATATTTTTAGGGTGAAAAAAGAAAAACACAAACTTTGTCAGTATTTGTTCAGTTGCTTCTTTTGGGAGGATGTTTTTGGCTGACTTTTTCTTTTTTTAATAAAGTGTGGACAAAAGTGTTTTTTAGATGACTGGAGGCTTATTTTATTGCACTTATTTAGAATTATATGAGAGTCACAGTTTAGTTACATTTTCCCATTTGTTCTGCTGTAGTGACAAATTTAAAAACATATCCTCCTGAGGTCTGAAAAATATAAATTTTAAAATACCTTATAGACTGGGTGTCTGTTATGTACGTGCAAGGAACATGTATGTATGTGCACACATGTGCATGTGCGTGTCTGTTTTTAGGCTGATATCTGCTGTATCTTTGCTCAGCAGATATTAACTGTGCCTTATGAAACTTCAAAAACACGTTTTTTAGATTATAAACTAAGTCAGAAGCTTTTATAAAAGTAATATTTTATAAGACAGAATTATAAATTTATTCTCTTGCAAAACCTAATAATCTTAGTAATTACTTAAAATAAATATTTGAATATAATTTTGAGGACATAGAAATAGTGATTATTTTTTAGTCACTGTGTCAAAATACTTTAGAGATTTGAGATACATATATAGTATATCATCTAGTATGATTAATAACTTAGACAAAAATGCCAAATTTTCCCATTCTGAAAGACAGGTCTGGGGATGGAGGTCAGTGGATGAGTGCTTGCCTGATATGTTCAAGGCCTTGGGTTCAATCCCCAGAACTACCAAAAAAGAAAAGAAAAGAAAAGAAAGAAAGAAAGAAAGAAAGAAAGAAAGGAACAACAAACAAGACAGACCTAAAAAAGATTAATACAAATCAGAATCCCAAATTGTTATGGTATCTAAAATTTTCTTTTTTTGTTAATATAAAATTAGTAATATATTAAAAACTCAAGAGTGCTTTTTCATGAAAGATATGTTTGTTATAAAGGGATTACATTGTATCATACATGTCTCACAGTAAATTGAACCACTTATTCTATAGACTGTACCACTAATATATCAAATACAGCACTCTGACTTCTTTATATTATTTTGCCCTCATAGGCAATGATAAAGTTGAGAGTACTGAATGCAGAATTTTATGAAAATTCTGAACAACAGTTTTTAAATCACATGTGAGTTTTGCATTTCATTCAGTATAAATATAAAATTCACCACTTTTGCTCTTGAGTTAATTGGTTCTCATCCCCACTGCTATTCTTTAAAAGCTGGGCAAGTATCTGGTCATATTTCCATAGAGTTAAGCTTATAATCCAATGTAAACGTGTTTTAATATTTTAATGTGATCCCTACTCTCATAGGTGGACAGCATTTTCCCCCCTACAAACCTGTTCCTCAGTAACTCATCCAATACTTCACAACTGGAAAACATAAAAGTTTATGTTATTTCTCAAGATTTGGTGGGTTAGCTGTTCTAGTTGGACACTTCTGCTGATATTGTCTAGAACCACTTTTGTAATAAGGGGCTTAGCTAGGACGGTGTGTTAAATCAGTTTTCTAATACTATGATAGAATTACTGAGATAATCAACATATGAGAAGAAAAGATTTAGTTTAGCTCATCATTTTGGAGATTTCAGTCCATGGCCTATTGTTTTTGTGCTTGTGATGAGGTAGCACATCATGGTGGGAGAACACAGTAGAGGCAGCTACTCATCTCATCATGGATGGAAAGTAAGAGAATGAAAGGAAAAGTCAGGATCCTCAATATCCCCTTCAAGGACATGCCCCTAGTGACCTAACTTCCTCCCACTGGGCTTTCCCTCATAAAGGTTCAATCATCTCCCAACAGTACCAAACAAGCTTTTAACACATGAACCTTGGGGGAACACTTGTACCCAAAGCAGAACAGACTGGAACAAGAAAGATGACTTTACTCTCATGTCTGGTCCCTTACCTGGGGTGGGTGGAAAGGTTTGGGGATAGCCAGGACCTCTTTCTGCATATTAAGCTTCTCATTATTCAGTAGCCTAGTCTGAAGTTATTATATATGGTTAATAGATCTCAAGAGAATAAAAATGGAAGATACAAGGCTTCTTAAGACCTAATCCTAGAAGTCACACAACACCTCCTCCACAGCATCCCATTGGTCCAGACCATTGGCAGGGCCTGTTCTCGAGGATGGTATATACATATCACCTATTGATGGCAAGAGTGGCATAAACTTACAGAATGAGAGGAATTTTGGGTGACCATATTTGTATACAATCTTCTACTCTGTACACAGAAAAATAATGCCAAATGGACTATTCTGCTAAGGAGTGGGACAATTAAATTTCTGAGTTTTTAAATTAATTTTATATTTAATAATATTGAATAATCCTTCTATGAGAAATAGTACAGATTATACTTTTCCATAAACTCTGCATTCATTGAAGAGAGAATGATTTTTTTTTTTTAAGCAAACAAAAGAGATAGGCTTTGAAGTTAGGCATATGGATTTCACCCTTGATTCTGTCAGATCCTAGTGGCAGGACCTTCGGCAACATCCTGTTCTAGTCCTATATTTTTCTTGAATGTATATGTAGGTTTTTTGTGAGGATTAAATGCCTATATGTAAGTTCTTAGACAAGTGCCTGGCTCGTCTAAGATTTGAGAAATGTTGGTTTTAAAAATGTAAACTGTCATTACCTATTATATCACATAGAAACCCTGTACCTCTGGAAGCTGTAAAGTTCTCTGTATTCTTATTAAACTTAATCATTAATCTTGATTACTTTCCCTGCCTCCCTTGTCTCCTGACAAGTGAAAGAAGGAAGTTCTATTTACTCTTTCATAGGTGGAAAAGGGGGCTGATTAACAATAGTTCTAAAGATGTGATTTATCAACTTTAAAAAATATTGTAACATATGGTAAGAAATACAGTTTATATTCTAACCCAGGACATGTACATAGGCACTAAGTAACCAGTGCACATAATACTTTATACATGTTTCAGAAAGAGTATTTATCCTTAAGATGTGCTATAAAGTCTAGTTTTCTGTTCCATGAAACAAAAACAACAAAATGTTGGTATTGATCCACTGTTATTAATTTCATTACCTACCAAATAATTCTAAGGATCTTGGGGTCAATGGGGACTAGAAGATCAAACACACTATTCTCTGGGTACAGAAATTGTTCCAGGTATGGTGCTATCAGAATACGACAAATGCAGTTTTTAAACATGTCAGTTGGATTGGGTTACAGAGCAAAAACTCTTTCACGAGTAGAGACTGACTCAAGAGGCTTCCTAATTTCAGTGGGACAAAAGGGTTGAGGAGGAGGCATGTTCTGTGGGGTTTTTTGGTACCATAGTAAACTGCTTTTTGTTTGTTTGTACTAGGTGGAGCAAGGCTGTGGTCCCAATTTCACAACTTACTACCTTATATTTTTGAACAAGTTTTTAAAACTCAGTTTTAGAGTCTTGATTTTTGGACTTGTTAAAATAATACAAAAAACATATTTTGAGCTGCGAGAAATAAGAGCACATAGAAAAAAAACCCAAAATATTGTACACTAGCAAAGCATTTGGCACATAAAAGCATTCAGCATGTGTTTCTTGCTTCCTTTCCTCACCATGGATCACAGACTCCAGAATTTGTAGCTATTGTTTAGGCTGTGTTTTATATTTTTGGAGGAAAGCTGAGATTTGGTGGAATCATTACTATAGTCAAACCCTATTAGTTCTTTAATGCAATTTAATTGCATTAAATGGATTGTCTCAATATACTAAGAATAGTTAATAATGTTTTTTTGGAATATGAATCTGATTTATGAAATATTCTATGTTCTCAGGTTATGTATCATAAGGTTTGGATTAATTTTCCAGTTATCAGTACAATCGTGAGAAAATGTCTTAACAGAAAAGAAACACATTTCTAACTGTAATGTTGCTAATAATTTAAAGAAACAAAATGACATGCAAATGCAAGTATTAGTTTCCTCCTTGGGTGTGCATTAAAGGTTACCAGAATTCACTATAATGTCTCAGATGTACAGGATTTTCATGACCTAGTTTTCAAGAGGTCAAAAGATAGTCACTCAGGTCCTAGATAGACATGACCACCCCCTCTTCGATGGATCGCTAGGATGGGGCTGGGCATTTTGAAATTTCTGCCTTTAAGTCTGGGATTTTGTGTGTGTGTGGATGCCGGGGAGGTGGCTGTGGCACATTTCCCCTCCTCCCATAATGTCACCCAGGGGCCGGCGGCCGACGCGGCAGCTCCCACGTGGCAAGTCTAGATTGAGCGGGGCGGGGTTGGGGGCGGCGGGCGGGACGCAGAGCGGATCTCCGGCCCTTCTCTCCGGCCTGCCGGGGCGCCCGCGCGGTCCTCCACCGCCAGGGGGCGGGCGCGGCGTCGCAGCGGCGGGGGCCCATTGGTCGCGGCGGGGGAAGCGTGGGAGGAGGCCTGGTGGCGAACTGGCTTCCTCCTGGCCACTCGCGGGGGTGAGGGGAAGCCGGAGGAGTCCGGGAGGAAGCTGAGGCTAGCGCTGGAGGCGGAGGCGGAGGTGGAGGCGGTTCCCGTCGGCCTCCGGCGGGACTGAGCGTCAAGAGGCCGGAAGGCGGGCGCCCGGCGGGTGAGACGACCGGGGAGGCGGCGAGGTCCGGGGAGGGATGGAGGGAGACCAGGGGAGCCGGACACCCACCTTCTTCCTCGTTCTCCGCGCCCCACGGTCGCCTGCGGGGGACTGGCCCTGGGGCGACTCGGCGGCAGGACCGGGACCCAGGGCACCCAGGGCGCCGTGGGCCCTCGACCGGGGCTGCAGCCTGGGTGCGAGCATCCTCCAGCGGCGCCTGGGCTCCACGGGAGGCGGGGCTGTGACTGCACCTGGCGCAGGGTCCCGCGCTCGGGTCTGGGCTGGCACCTGAGCGCGCCTTCCACACACACCCGGGTTGGAGTAATGTGGACCCCAGGAGGCGGGGCTGGAGTTGGGTGTTGGATTCGAACTCGGTAGAGGGCCATCTTGACTCACTTGTGAAGTTTTAGTGTTTTCTAAACTGGAGGTACTTTTTATTTTTTATTTTTTAAACTTATAGCCCATTGGTGTTTGTTGTCATTGGTGAATGCACTGTTAATTCTTTAAAAAAAAAAAAAGATTTTTTTTTCTGCTACGACCACAGCTCTCTACTATGTGTGAGGGCTAGTTCCCTACACCTAAGTAATGAGTAAGGATTGACAGACTGAAGTTGTTACCTTAAGCTGTGATTTTTTTGGGAGGGTGGTGGTGAGGGAGATGTGGGGGAGGGATGCTTTCATCACTCTCTACATCATCCTTTACTTAAATATGTTTACTTTAGAACTTCTAATTGATAGAACTTTTTCTGTTTCTTTTTATTTACTGAGAAATATATGGATACAATGTCACTAAATAATCTTAAATTGCCTAATTGCTGTACACTGTTGCCAAGTACTTCCACATGTGTATTTCTCACAACTCAAGTGAATAAGTCCTTTTATCTATCTTCTTTCCTAACTTTACAGATGAAAGTGCCAGCTCTCAGAGAAGTTAAATAAAGATTGATGCTAATAGCAGATCCCCAGACCACCTGGACCTGTGAACACCTTGCAGGACTAGTGATATATTATTATATTTTCCAGGTTTGGGGCAGTATTACTATGTTCAAGCAGTGCTTTACAGAGTACCAAGAGATCTCCATTTAACTTAGAAAATAAAAGTAACTTACCAAATGCCATTCAACAAGAAAATGGCAGAATAGCGAGTCAGCATCTGGTTTTGGTGGTATTATTGACTTGTACCTCCTTCTGGAGGCTGCCTGCCTCTTTAAGTTCTCTGCCTCTTTACTAGTTAAGTCATTTTTTTTTGTTTTGTTTTGTTTTATACAGGTGTTAGGAGCTTTGTGTCATAGATTCTCACACTATTTTCTCAACTCATTAAAGAGTAGCATTACTTGATGGGAAGAAAAGTAATAATTTTAGCTAATAAGCAGCATTTACTTCTTGTCTGGGGGAGCTTCAGATTACCTATATGACTTTTAAAAAGTAGGGGGCTTCTGTTTCAAAATGGTGGCAAAATAAGAGTGAATACCACTGGACTAAAGAGACCTTAAAAACTAAAAATGTTTTATTATAATCACAAACTTTTAATATATATTGTTACCTTAAGCATTACTAAGTATTCTTACATACTTTGTAAAGTCGCATTGAAAAGGAGAAGGTAATTAGAGAGAAGATCAAAAAGATTGAATGGCAAAAGGTAGTGTTCCCTGTAGGGGATCATAAAAACCTTATGTTTTTCACTATTTTGGGTTTTATGGTAAGCCTCATTATTTAAAAATGTTTTTACAGTCTTTTAAAAATATTAAAGTGCCTGCCATGTGCCGATAATTAATAGGTACCATGGATACTATGAATAAGACAGCCTGGGCCTTCATAAGGCTACTTTATTTTCTCAAAGACAGTGAATGTTTAACCTCCTCTCATCTTTATACAGATTTCATAAAATTGACCCAGAGAGAAAAATTTTGGTTTTATGTTTCAAAAGAATTCATCTAGCTCAGAGTTTAGTACAGTAGCAAATTTTGTCCTGAACATAGTCCAAAAGAGTCTGTGGATCCCATAATCTGGATTTTAAGCAATAGTTTTGCATTTAGTTACTTTGTGAATGGCATTGACCAAATTAGCACATTTAATACTTTATTCATTTGATCAAAGAGGCTGAACAAGGTGAGGCTCTTTATACTTCAAAAGGTTTTGTGTTTTTTTTTTTTTTTTTTTAAATATAGCTCCTAAAATACAATGAGCTGATTTTCTTGTCAGACAAGGAAATTAAATGTTCTAATACCTCTTAGTCTCTACAGTGTATGGAGTGAATGTGCTCATAGAAGGGCAACATGGAGTTTCTTTTTGGCAGTAAAGTAGTTCTGTATCTTGACTGTCCTGTTGGATACAGCAGCCAACATAGGTAATCAAATTACATAACCAAAATTAACACAAATGGTTACAGTACCACATAGCATTTATCCATTCATCCTTTAATGGACCCTGGTGAGTCCATGAAACTTTCTAGTAATGAGTCACGTCCTACTAATTTTCATCATCAGCTCCAAAGAATTATTGAGGTAATATTATGGTATCAGGTGTGCCACATAAGGAAGGATACCATTCATTACCTGCAGTTAGTGATCATTAAGTGAGTTCTGAAGGATGTTGGTCAACAGCAATGAATTTTTAAAATTATTTTGGTTGATACATTTTCAGAAAAAAAAATCACATTAGAAGCATCTATTTGCAAATGGCTGCTGGCCTGCCATCAGTTTTTTTTTTCTTTTTAACCTTTTTTTTTTTTTAAGTTGTAAATGGACATAATACCCTTATTTTTATTTGTTTTTATGTGGTGCTGAGGAGCAAACCTGTGTGCTAGGCAAGTGCTCTACCACTGAGCTACAGCTCCAGCCACTGCCATCAGATTTTGATGTAGAAATAGGATGTTAATTGCAGTTTGTCCGGGGCTGTTGGACATATAGAACTGCTGTGTCTCCATTTCTTTGTGCAGAAGGCTTGACTGACAGAATTGTGTCTGCCATTGTGCACATCAGTTCTACAGACTATTTAAAGACAGTGTTAGTGTGGTTGCTAACGAAAATTCCTACACAGAATAGAAACCTGCAACTTATCATTTGGCGTAAAGTAGCTACAGGAGATGAGGATAGGAGTTCTACCATGTATACATTTGTGCCTTTTCTGAAATTTTTTTTAAACACAATTTATGAGATGGGTACTTAATAATCTTATTTATGTCCATCTTATAATTGCATTATTTTTGTCATTATTCTTGATAATACCGATTTCTGTCCATCCATCTTCCCGAAGGAAGGTCGTTTACAGTATAGGATTAAGGTTGTTTAGATTATAACCCTTTAAACAATTGTAGAATTCTTGAAGGGGCAGGCAAAAATAAATGGCATTTTGTAGGATTCTTTCTTGTTTTTGGATTTGGGTATGTTTGTGCTGTAATCAACATTCCATTCCTTCAACTAGATTATAGGTTTTTAATCAAAATTATGCTTTGGTTAAAAGAGAAGAATTGCAAGACCTTCAGGAAATTGAAAATATAGTAAATAGTCTGTTTTAACCTTTGCAAACTGAAGTTGTCTTCCCTGCTCCTTGTCAATTTTCTCCAGATCTATTCACTGCCAGCCTCCTCTTCTTTCACCCCCAAAGGAGAATTCCACTTGGTGTTCAGAAACAGTGAAAAAATTCTTATCATGAATTTTAGTTTGGGGCCTTTCATCCTAGATCTGCTGCTTTTTTTTTTTTTTTTTTGGATTGTTATGCTCTTGGTCTGAAGTTCTCAGATGTGTGCTTGAATGGGAATTACTGGGGAACTTGTTAAACATGCTGGAGTTTTAACACCTACTCCTAGGGATTCTGATTCTTTTGGTCTGTGGCTGGCCCTGGAATTTGCATTTTAAAAAGCACACTAGTGATTCTGATGTCCTTGGTCTGGTAATACTGTAGTTAGGGCTTTGTAGGGTATTTCATTGAATCTGTGCAATTGTTTATAAAGTTGTTTCAGGAAACAGAAATGTGGTTGTAAACCTCATCCTGGGTGTACACATGCTGATAAGGGAAGCAGTGTGCCTCTCAAAATCAATAACAGGGTTTTAGGTTTCTAAGAAACAAAAGGGCCTCTCTTGTCAAAGGGTTATTATAAGGCATATGATATGAGATGAAATAATTACATAACAACATTTCTTCACATCTGTACCATGTAAAATAGAGTTTATATAAGGAGTCCTTACCTGATATCTGTTTGTAATGAAGATTGTATGGATGACTTTGTTTTAAAGGTGCAGCTTTCTTGAGGTGTGATGCACTCCAGCTTGGCCCCAGTGTTATTTTCATCCTACTCATTTCCAGTCATTTATGTTAGTGGCTCAGTTCAGAAGTCTTATGTTCCACTGGAATATTTACTTACTGTCACACTGACATCAGATGTAGCATAATGGTTTGATTTATCTTTTTATCATTCTTTTCTGTTAGTCCATAGCTGTCACTAATATCAAGAAGCTGTTTATGTACTCGTACAGGAATTGCAAACCATCCTGTGCTGAGTAGTTGTAGGAGGAGGTGGTGGGGTAAACACAAAATCTCAAGAGTAGGCCTCAACTCTAATTGCCAATTCAAAAAGAAAAGCTGAAGTGGTGTATTGGGTTTTGAAAGAATGTCTGTAGGTTAGAGCAAATCTTCACTGTTGAGATTTCAGTGAAACACAACTCTACCTGCTTTTGGTGCTTCCTTTCGTGATGGGGAAAGTTACTTAGCTATGTTAGATTTAGGGAGAGGAAAGCAGAACATGAATCAATTTCAATTTTAATCCCTTAAAGTGTTTTTGGAAAACATGGTAAAATGCTTGTTGATCAACTGGTTATTACAGAAATTGGATCTCTCACATTTCTGAAGAGGAAAGAGTAACTTTAGGTCTCCTCTGTGGCGGATTCACATGGACCAGAGGAATTGTACTTTGAGATTGACATTGAGCTGACTCATGTTGCTCTCAGAAGGTATGTCACTCATGTTGCTCTCAGAATGTGTGTTGTCTGTCAGGATTGGCTA